TATCCAGTCGAATACCGCGCGTATTCCACAAGCGATGTCTAAGTTTGCTGAAAGCATTGGTAGCCTTAGCAATCTGATGCATGATTTCATCATCTAAAGATCCACTGTAGTTGACTTTGCTACCAAGATAGGTGAAAGACTTTACATAGTTCAGGGCTTTTTATTCTTCTTTCAATGGTCTCTGGAAATTTGTAGATTGGTGGTTTTTGTTTCTCGCCAGGGAATTGCTTCGGAGTAAGACAAGGTTAGTGTACTACTTCAGTTTTCTGTATGCTAAGTGTAAGACCAAACGCTTTAAAGGCAGCAGACAAAACGATTTATTAGATGTTGGGCCTCCTCAAAGGATGTCAGCAAACAACAAATCACAGATAATATGCGTACGAAGGTGGGTCTTGGCTTTGAAGCGAGGATGATTGAAGAGACCACCAGTTGCTTGAAACTGAAACTTGACGCCGCTCTCTGTGTCTACGAATGCATATTTCAGCATCACCGAGAAAAAAAGAGCAAAAAGGACAGGGGCCATGACACACCCTTGCTTGGTGCCATTTGTGTCTGACTCCATATCATCAGACACGATATTAGCTTTCATTCCTGCATGAAAAGAGATGATCATCTTTAGCATGTTTTCTGGGATGTCGAGTTTCCTCAAGACTTGCCAAAGAGCCTCTCGATTCACAGTGTCAAAGGCCTTCGCCAAGTCCAAAAACACCATGTACAACTGGTTCTCTCACGAACTTTCTCATATATATATATATATATATATATATATATATATATATATATATATATATATATATGTATGACAAAATAAGTATGTATGACAAAATGGAAAAAGTTTACTCGTGACGTATTTCGTCTTTCATGGCTTCATCGAACTAAATTTGTTATGTTGGTAGGAGTACGCATGCCCAGGACAGAGGGGTGCTGGGAATTTTAGATTTTTTTATCATTCATTTAGAGTCCTTTTCTTTTTCTTTTGTTTCCGCCACTTTTGTAAGTAGGAATTCCACTCTGTGATATTAGAAGATTTGCTAGGAATGGTGAATTTTCCCCCCATCCTCTCTCGCAAGAAGAAGAAGATATTTATTCGTAGCAATATTTTATAGCAATTACAATTCGTAACAATTTACAGCAATTATACTTATAAGATAATATTAATTATTATTAACACAATTATTAAAATATGGCAACACTTGCTTAAAGGAGGGAGAGAAGAGCTCCCTAAATAAGTTAACTAATGAGAAGGGAGACTCCCCCTTTATTCAAAGATAACTCATTTAATAAAATAATATAAAGTAAAATAAAATATGCAACAGTGTATCTAATTATAGTCAAAGTTACGAAATTAATTATAAAGTGTAAGAGTCAGGGCGCAAATTTACTGTAGATGTTCTTGTGATTAAGGAACTCACGAGGCATTTAAATCATAGCGGATTATTTTCTCTTTTGATCAGAGTAGCATTTTCTATGTCGAAATTGGGCTCAGTCCCGTTACGCTGGGCATCCAACGCATTTGATGTATTTTGATGTTTAATATTATTTTGTAAAATATCCCTTTTGTGTTCATATAATCTTATATTTAGATTTCTTGAGGTTTCTCCTATGTATTTTTGTGACAATCATTACAGGCGATGGAGTAAACTCCTTCTTCCCGTTTTGGCTTATTGTTTTGCTTAAGTCCTTTATTGTTTTGGATGTAGTAGTAACAACATTTATGTTGAATTTAAATAGATTCTTTTCGATTGTAGATGTGATAGAATGAGTAGGCAGGATAATATATTTTTTGATTCATTGGGTTTCTCAAGAGGGGCCGTTTTTTGTATTGGAATATTTTATGGGTTTTTTGTTTCGCATTGAATATAAAATAATTAGGGTACTGGAGAAGTTTGAAAGTATTTGCAATGTATTTCTCCTCTTCGTGTAAATAATCCGGGCTGCATATTCTTAGAGCTCTTATGTAGAATCCGATGATTATGCTGGATTTTATTTTGTTGTTATGATGGAAATAGAAATTTATTAGGTCGTTTTTATTAGTTGATTTCCAGTGTAATCGAGTTTTAAACTGTTTTTAATACAGTGTAGCTTGATATTTTGTATGTAAATTCTATTGTGTGTTCAGCTTTGTTTAGTTGATCTCCTAGGTCAGGTAAATCAGTATCATGAGGATATATAAGTAGAGCATCATCAATATAATGAAAATATGTTGATTATTTGGGTAAAATATTTTGGAAAGGACCGGACTCGAGAAATTCTAAGAATATGCATGCCATCATTCCACTGAGAGGTGAACCCATTGGTAATCCAAATTTTTGTTTCTAATAATCATTATTAAATGTGAAGTAGCATTGATTGGTGATGAGACGGCAGATTTACAAGAATTTACTTCTTGCTTCGATTCATTTTCGTGCATATAAAATTCCCCCTACCCCAAAATCGGCGATCAAGATCAAGGCATCAAGATCAAGGCCCTTATTACTCTGACTTTCTTCAAACACCCTTCTTTACTTTTACTTTCACTCTCTGTAACCCCTTGCGTGCTAGTGTCACTCCCGTCTTGCTTGGGGTGAAATGCTTAAAAAAACATATATAATAATTATATATAATATATAATATATATTTTATATATTTATAGTGTATATAATTCTTGTGACCAAGTAAATGGTTAAGTAATAACAAAAAACAGGTTTGCAGATATCGTATATTAAACAGTAAGTACATCAGAAGAGTATTAAAGGACTAGCAAGAGTGTATCGAATGAACTAGCGCTCAATCTATTCACTGTTATATTTAACAGCCCCCCCCTCCACAAGGGTGTATGTGGCACAAGGCCAGTTTTTTGTGGGTATTCCGAGCCCGTAGGCTCGACCAAAAATATTCCCTTTGAACCCGCCTAAACGGGTTCAGGGACTGTCTATCTCCCTGGACGAAACTTTGCACTGCGGTAAAGCTTCGCCCGAGTTCATCTCTGCTGAGGCAGAGAGTTGGACAGTTGAACAATCTATTCACTGTTCCCCGAAGCCTTCTGTCCTACTAATCTTATAGTAGGCGGAAGAGTCTAACATAGATTCTTTAGAGGGAGGACACCACAATATTAATGTTTTGGGTCGTCATAAATTAAGTCGTTTTTCCGATGTTATTTGAATTAACACAAAATATTTTACCGTAGTTTTTTTTTTGTGTTTTTTAGCTCTGTTCTTCCACTACAACTTTTCTATATCGTTTTATATTATTGACTGATTTCTTGAAATTATTAATGAATAATTAGATTAAAATAAACAGGGGAAAAAAACGAACAAATTTATCTGAAAAACCAGTATGTATATCGCATATATAAAAGTTCATATATACATATATGTATTCTATATATAAAGTTTTATCATGTAGAAAAAGAATGAGTCTGCTTCTAGATTTTGGCGCCAATCTGTCTTTTGAATTGTTGGTAGAGAACGCACTTGACCCTGAATAACAAAAGAAATAGCTTCTTGAGACTTTCCACATTATTTTATCTTATTTTGTTGTTGATTCATACGACTGCTTACGACTTGTACATTCGGTAAACATTGTTTTTTTGGATCACGTTCAATTACAAACGTATTTACTGGAGAAAAAAAGCTTTTTACGCTTGGAAAATGAGGGAAACGAGATTTTCTGACGGTTTGGTGGCAAGAAAAGGTCAAGTCATACGCAGGGTGAAGTGTAGAAAAGTGCAGACTTAGAAATGAGACAGCATTGTTGAATAACATTCAGAAATCTCAGTTGAAAATTATAAGGAAAAGATTCCTATGAAGAAATTATGGAAAAAGAACCTCTTTAATTTACAGCCGAAACACTCTTCGGTCATATTTTCTTTGTTCTTGAGAACTAACGGCCAATCTAGTACTACGCTTAATTTATCGTGAGTAAGGCGAGTGGTTAGCAACCCTGTCCGATGAAAAATAAAACCTATCAAAGGGCGGAAGAACTCTTAACAAATCTACGGCGAGGTAGTGTCTCAATAAAATCCCCGTGGAGAAGGCAATGGTAAATCACCCCACTATCTATTACTATCTCATGATTCTCGGCTTACATAGGCGATGTATTTCTTTTGGGGTTTCTGGACCTGTCCGCAGGCAGATTTTCATTTTATACGAAGCTGAAGGTGACTATTAAACGTTTCAGAACTGAGGACTAATTGAGCAAGCTATTGAAGTGGATGGGGGTTGATGCATTTTAATAAAAAATTAATGGAATGTATAAAGTATCTCATCGATACAAAAAAGAATCGAACAACTACAATTAAAGAATATGTCTCTCAATGCTTTTGTCGAATTCATACACTAGCAGGAAGCGATATCACATTTTAACAATTTTTATTTTTATTAATCATTTCACCTCAAGCAAGGCGATAACGCCACTAAGACGCAAGGTGATTATCAAGAAGTGAAGGCAACTGAGAAGGTGTAACTGAAGAGAAAAGATAATAAAAAGAACAGGATTGAAGGAGATAGCTGATGACGATTGACGTTGCATCTAACGTTTTATAAAGTGTAGCTGTCAGAAAAGCATGAAACTGGAAGCGAGTTGCATAAGTGAGAAGTGCAAAAGAAGAAACTATTAGAATAGGACTTACGGTTTCATTTAACAATTTCAACAATAAAATGATGAGAACTAATTCTGAGCATTTATTCATGAAACCCAGGTACCAAAGAGAAAAGCTGATTAGAATAATTTCAGGGAAGAAGAACTTAAGCCTGTTCCTATTCATTTTGTGCGCGTATCGACCACTACGACATACTACTTTACAACACTCATAAGATACAAATTTACCAGAATTTACTTCTTGCTTTGATCGATTCCCAAGCATATAAAATAGAATCCCACCCACCCCAAAATTACTTTTATTGGAAATTAGCCATTCTGATGTCTATAGGTTATTTGTTTGTGTTTTAATATTCAGGTTATCAAGTTGTCCTGATAAATTAATTTTTTGTAACAACAAATTCCTTTATTCCCCCTGTATCATGTTTTTCAGTCTCGCTCATCGGATTCAGCTGCTTGTTTTTGAGACCAGGGCATTTCTTCTGTTTTAGTTTGTAAGACAGAATCTTTTGCTTTTCTTCACATTTTCAACACATAATCGATGCTGTTTGGCTTCATTAATATGGCTTCCAATTTGCAGATGATGTTCGTTTTTCAGAACATCAACAAGAATTATTTTCTTTGTTAACTATTCATCTATCCTCCTTTCCCTCTTTCTCTTTTGTTTGATTCTTTCTTTCTTTCTTTCTTTCTTAAATCAGTCTGTCTTTCTTTCTTTCTGATATCAGTCTTTCTTTTTGTTATCAGTCTTTCTTTCTTTCTGTTATCAGTTTTTCTTTCTTTCTTTCTTTCTTTCTTTCTTTCTTTCTCATATCTGTCACTTTCTTTCTCATATCAGTCAGTTATTCTTTCTTCTTTTCTTTTATTTTTGGCCTTGTGCCACATCTTAGATACACATAGAAAATCAACCAAATTAGAGGAAAATACATTCGAAATTGAGTAACACTGAATTCGTTACTTCTAACCCTAACCCCCCTGCCCATCCAACGACCCCTGTTAACGAGTTATATCGTCTTTACTCTGTCTTCTTGACAACCGACCAATATAAGTGTAAATTCTCGACTGAAACAATGGGTGATCTGTTGGAGAATTTGTCCGAAGAAAGCACACTAAATTTTGAATTTCGCGACTTGCGACTTTTTAAAATAACCAGGAATTTTGGAATCCAATGAGAGGAAAGTTCATTCGACATTTATTAGTATCGCTGTGCCATAAAAACAATACAAATTCGATATGTGTTTGTGTGACAACCTTGCCAATCCATCTATGACTCCGAAAGAACGAAAGACTTCTGCTGGTAAGGTTGGAATCCAGACAATTTTCACAACGTTACACAAACTGGACTGAAAGGAGGTGTTGTTAAAAATTAGCACATTTCGGCGAGATTGGCTTTTTCAAAAGAGCAATGACTCAGAAATCACGTAGCGAAAGGGTATTGTGGTCGGATGAAGAAGAATTCTTTGGGCAAAATCCCAAACTCTGTGTGTGGCGGAAAGTTGGCAATGATTACCTTTCAAGTGAGACGATTTTAGTCCTCAGTTGAAAACAATTTTAAGTTTACATCAAGATTAGAAATCTAACGCGAAAACAACTAAAACTGGTTTATTTATTTCAGTCTCTTCATGTTTATTCTAAGACTTTTGATTATCTATCTATCTATCTATCTATCTATCTTGTTTTGGTTATCTATCTATCTATCTATATATCTATTTTAGTATGTTCATATCTATCTATCTATCTATCTATCTATCTATCTATCTATCTATCTATCTATCTATCTATCTATCTCATTCTGTTCATATCTATCTATCTATCTATCTATCTATCTATCTATCTATCTATCTATCTTCATCTCTGTTATTTTCATCACAATGTTTCGGTCGTTGTGTCCTCCGGCCTTAATCAGGTGTATGTCTATCTGGGTAACCGCAGGGAATTCCGAACTGAACTCTTTATTTAATCTTCGGGGTAGACTGTTCTCGTTCCACTGTCCGTGTCTAGGGATTTCTCGTCAAGTTCTTAATTTTGTATTAGTGTTCTCTTATTGCCTGCTCTGTTTTCACTAAGTTCAAATACACGCGCAGTTCAGTCCCTGGGTCGGGCATTGTGTACTTTGACTCAGTGGAAACAGATGAGCAATGACTGAGCACCACTAAATAAGGAACGAGACGAGATATTCCTAGACATGGGCAGTAGGATGAGAAGAGTTTATTTCCGTAGATTAAATAAAGGGTTCAGTTCCGAATTCCCGGTGGGTTATCTGGATCGCCAAACGCCTAATGAAAGTCAAAGGATACAACAACAACAGAAACTTTGTGACAACAAGAAAGATGAGAGAAATAATTTAAATGTGAATAATTATATTTTAATGACTAAGCAATTTAATTATAAAAGCCATAGAAAACAATTTCTTATTTAGAAAGATCCCAAAATACAAGATCCGGAATGAATAACAATTTGATTATATATATATATATATATATATATATATATATATATATATATATATATATATATATATGATCGAAATAAAAGTATAAAACTTAATATTACGAGACATATTAAAACGGGCAAAAAGCAACCGGTTTCGCTCCCGCTCTTCAGGCTTCATTCAACGGGAGATTTAATTTAAAATTAACACAGAAAAATGTACAATAAAAGGAAGTTGCGAAAAGAAAAGAAAAAACCCCAAAAGGAACTAGAGAGAAATGACAGCGAGTCCCAACAAACACTCACGTTGTTTGCACAAAGAAGGCCTGATAAGCGGGAGCGAAACCGGTTGCTTCGCCCGTTTTTAATATGTCTCGTAATATTAAGTTTTATACTTTTATTTCGATCATTAAATTTTATACCTACAAAAATATCTTTAAATATATATATATATATATATATATATATATATATATATATATTAGGCAGCAT